ATATTCAAATACTAATAAAATTACTAAAGTACTAATTTTTGCAACTTTATACCAATTAAATCCAATGTTGTTCGTACAGCAATCCTTCTGAATCGTGTAGAAGGCAACGAGTGCATTTTAAGCATAATTTTACTGTGCCTTGGGGTTAATCTGAAAATTAGGATGACCTGTTGCATGACAATTACTACAGCTGATTTTTGCACAAACAAAATTGATGAAATATATATAATTTCTTATTCTAGTATACGTAATGCATAGACTTTCCAGTTTATACATTTGGTGTTGTAACAGAAATCAAAATTTTGTTTTGTGAACATTGTCTTCTTGTAAGAAATTTCTGGAATGAAAGGTAATATTAACTTTACTGGGGTGCAACTCGAAGCAAATCCTTATGAGCAGAAAGAAATTTCATCAAATTCAGTCCAATACTTGTTTTTGTTTAATCAAGAAAATTACAACAACGATATTTAAAGATTTCTTGACAAAGATTTATAATCATCATCATAATGTTATCATGAATTAAATGTAAACAATGGGACGCCAAAACTTGATATAATCGCCATACTTCCGCATATAGTAATGTATGGGGGTATCAGTCACCTTTTGACTTTGTACTTGACTCTTGTCTAATGTTTTGTTGATATGATGACTAATACTGATTTTGAGCTGTTTGGTCATAGACCTATGATTCACTTCTTGGATCCAATTGCTCAATTTTTTCAAGTCATTGGAGAGACTCCTTTCTCCAACCTTCGGGTTCGTTATTAGGAGTCCCGTTACTTACACTCAATTTATCATCAATTAGATCAAAGAGAGCATTGTCTTGATCGATTTAGTATCTTTTGATGTGGAATACGATCAAAAGCCAACTAGTTGCTTCACTTTGTAGTAGTTTATACTTTTGTTGGATATTTGTGACAATAAAATTGTTTCGACTTATTTTTAGAGAGTTAACAGACGCTCTCTCCCTGTTAATCTTATGAAAATGACCGAGTATGTCAAAATAATTGTACAAGATGTTTAACAAAAATCGGTTACTATACTTCGTTTAGTTTTTGTAGCGATGTGACCTTCAGTTTGACCGGCGCAAAGTAGAAAAGAACAGCACTAGGCCAGAAAAGAAAGGAGACAACTCTCGGCTAAACTCTTAACCGGCGAGGAGCGTATAATCCGTACAGTACTGCACGGAAAAATTGACCATTTTATCCACTACAATTGCATTGCTCAAATGTGCTGTTATTAGTACCATTTACTACTGAAAATATCAACGAGATGTTTATTTATATTTGAAGACATATTAAAGGCTTTAACGCTTGTTTTCGACTCGCACT